GATATCGAATCGACATAGATATCGTAACGATATCGATTCGATATCGTTACGATATTATTGCGATATCGAATCGATATTATTGCGATATCGAATCGATATCGTTAGAATTTTAAGGGTTTCTGTAAAGTAATATTGAAATGAGTTTGATATAATATAAATATCATTATCAAAAGAATGTTAATATAATATTGAAATGATATTGATTTGATATCTTTATGATATTGATACGACATCGAAATGATATTAATACTATATAGTTTCAATATCAATACTATAATACATTTACAAAATTGAAATAATAGGCATGATATAATTTTATATTGAAATAGTAAATATTTATTAATAATTAAAGTTCAAAAAATAAATATTTATTTATTTATATATTCAAAATTATATAACTATTTTACATTTTATGAATAAAATTTACATTTTATAAAGTATTTAATAATGCAATTATACATATAACACAAAGTATTTTAAGTATATTCTTTCTAATCATCTAACGATTAAGTTTTTTTTGATATAAATTTTATATAAAAACAATTAATAACATTAAAAAAAATAGAGTATGATATATTATTTACCTTTCAAATTGCTTTTCTTAATTATCAAAAAAAAAAAATTAATTAAACTCTGTATAAAATCATTTGAAATATATACTTTCATACCTATTATTAGCTTAGTTTATTCAAAAGTTCTATGTATTAATTATATTATGAACATTTTTATTAATTGTTTTTATCTTAAAATTATTATTTATTAGTTTTTTTTAACAATTATTTTTTTAGCTATAATAAATCTCTTTTAAAATGATATTTACAATAACTTTTAGTCACAAACCTTAAAAAAAAGATATATATATTTAAAATACTTCGTTATAGAAAAAAGAATCTTCTAATTCTAATACATTTTTAAAAATTATTTACATTTTTTAACTTTTTATTAAGTTCATTTCATGAGTCTTTAATTTAATTTCAAGAAATTGGAATAGCTAATTAAATGATATTTAAATTTTTTTTTTAAACCTATACTTTAATATCTTTGGTTATATAAAATATTATCATTTTAAAAAAAATTTTTACTAGCAAATTAATTTTACAAATTTTTCTATATTTTAGTATATCTACTATATCTACATCTATTTAAGGTTTAATTATAGATTTTAATACTTTTTTTTGGAAAAGTAAACCTATATTATTACTTTATTATTCTTATATTTTATAGTAAATAATAAAATTTTAATATAAATTATTCACTAAAAGTATATTAATATGATAAAAACTATTATTTATAAAAATTTTAAAATAATACTAATCATTTCAAATAATTTTTATCCTTTTAGAAATTTTTTATTGCATCTTTCTAATACTAATTTAATTGATTAATGGATTGTATTTTAACTATTAAAAGTTTATTTGCTATAATATGAGAAAATCCTAATTTAATATAATTTTTAAGTTAATATTTTTAGATATTTGTAATTTCTTTAAACTTATACTGATATTATTTAATACTATTATGATTATTTTTTTTATTTAAGTTTTTATTTTTATTATTCATTTTCTTTAAATTATTAAGTAAAGTGCATTTTTATAATTTCTTTATTATTATAATAAATAATAGTTTTATTAGTTATTGATATAAAAATGTTGATAATTTTACTTATATTTTTTTTAATTATAATTAATTTTATAAAGACTAATAATTCAATTATACTTAGATTCTTTATTTTTCCTATATTAATATTAAAAGTTATTATTATATAATAAAATATTTAACATATATTATTTTAAAATTTGAAGATATATTATTTATATAAATTATACTAAAGCAAATAAATTATTACTAATAGATATTTAGTAATCTATGCTATATATTTCTATAAAATATTATTTAATATTAGGAATTTGCAAAAACTATGCTCAAAAATTATTTTATAATAGTATATATATAATAATAAAATTTTATTTTTATTTTGATTTATTTATAAACATGTAAATGATAAGATATTTATTTTCTATTTTAATAATTACATTATATATACTTTTCTAATAATTTTACATATATTATATTTATTTTATAACAAATTTCAATAATTTTATTTTATATTATTTCTTAAAACATCAAATATTATTATAATATAATATATTGTAAATATATTTATAAAATAAAATTATTTATTTATTTTATATTTTATTAATAAAATTAAATTTGTTTTTCTATTATTTTTCATTTTAAACTTATTTAATTTACAAGTAATTTGCAAAATTATTTTTAAAATAATTAAATTAAACTCGTTATATTCTAAATATTATTATTATTTAATTAAATAATAAATAATTTTAATAAAAATATTATTATAATTTAATATTATCTTTATAAATATTATAAAATTTAAGTATTTATTAAAACAAAAATGTTTTATTTAACAATGTTATTAAGAAATTTTAATGTTAATTTTACATTATCTAAACTTAATATTATGTTATTTGAGATTAGATTAAGAACTGAAATTAACTTATCAAAATAGAAAATATTTATATTTATATTATAATAGCTTTCCTAATAAAATAATGATTCAAATATTATAAAATGAAATATTAATTTTATAATTTGTTATTACTAAAAATCTGGATTTTAACTTTATTAACAAATTTTTAACAATTTACAATAGTAATTGATGTTTTTTATTACCTCATGTGACTCGTGACATTTAAGAGGGGTGAAACGGTGATAAAATTCTAAGTCCCTAGAATACATAGTAAAAATGAAAACTACTGGGAGATGAGACATAGAGTGACAAGTAACACATGCAATATAAACATATAAAACACGTGACACCGGTGGAGAACACCAGTGGTACGTAGTAAATTTCTAAAAAAAATATTGAGAAAAAGGTATTAAAATGCAAATAAAGTATTAAATATTAATTTAATTAATAAAATTATAGTTTAAGATTCATATTATTTTTTTTTAGTATTAAAATAAAAAAAATTTTGGACATCTTTAATTCTTCCAAACCTATTGTGCTTTAGGCAATTTTATCTAATTATAAAACGAAATTTTTTTGGATTATTTCAATAATTCTTATTTAATAATATAGCTTGATTGATATTTCAAGATATCGAAAGCATATATATGCACAAGCTTTTTCAAATTTTTCTAATAAAATCAGTCAAATCATTGACATTTCGGATAAATTTTTTCACATGCTGATCTTTGACACATGGTTTCACAACATATTAATTTATATGTTCTTTGTTGTTCCCTTTTTTTTCACCTTTTCACTTTACAAAATTATGGTTCAATTGCCGGCGGATTGTATTCAAGAAATATTGAAATTCTTGGATAATAATTTGTTTTCATGTCTTTTAATCAATCGTAGATGGTGTAGAAATACCGTACCGTTGATATGGAATAATCCGTTTAGATTTGAAGGATTATCCGATAAAAAAAATTTAAGATTCCTTGATAATTATCTTAAAAGTTTAAATCAAGAGGAGAACGATTGGTTGGAACAAAAAGGGATTGTACTCGGTCATGAGCAACCAATATTATTTGATTATGCATCATTTTTGGAAGTGATTAAATTCGACAAGTTGGATCTCACCATAAAGAATTGGGTTGATTATTTTTATTTTGATTTCAAGGTACCAAAAATGATTTTTTTGGAAAAAGGAGAATATTATATTAATATCTTGGCCGTCTTATTTAAATTATTCATGAGACAATCAAAGAGCATTCGATCATTATTTATTAGTGAAATTATGTCATTACCTACCGTTACTAGAATAAAATTTCCAGATTGTTCAACATTTTCTTTGGCGGTACCTGGTATTAAAGAAGTCAAAGATGTTAATTTTAATTTTTCTTACAAGGTAAACCCTTATAAGAAAATTTTCGAAGTAATCTCCACGACATGCACCCAAATTCAAAACTTATCATTATCCTTCCCATATAATGTTCGATTAAAAAATTTGCCACATTTTAATAATAGTTTGATAAACATGATAAAAAATCAAACGAAATTGGAATCTATTACTTTGAAATTTATTATGTTTAATCTAATTGAACTGAAATCTGTATTTAGTTCGTTAAACCTACATATTAATTGGATAAGGAAGATTGAATTGAATTATTTTGAGATTAATCTCATGGATTTTTCTTTAATATTTTCAAAAAAAAGTAATAATCAACCAATCGAATTAAGCTTACTTGATTGCGTATTATATTTGTATGTAGAAAACCACGAACAAATTTATGAATTTGAGGAAATAAAACTACCAGTAGATAGTTTAAAGATCTTATTTGAGAATGATCACTCATTAATTTATCAACCAATATTATTACAAATCGTGGGAGAAAATTTGAGGAATCTTTCATTAAATAAGTTGGATGAAGATACCATTCGATACATTTTAGGCTATTGCACGAATATTACATCTTTAGAAATTGTTGATTTACAGCGTATGGATTTATCCGATATTTTAATGATTATCAAGGAACTTCAAATTAGTAAATTAAAATTATCATTCAATGATACAGGATTGCCTCTTCCTGAATCAATTGTGTCAGATTTTTTGTTAAATTTGTCTTTTAATTTACCTACGACATTAACTTCGCTAGTATTGGGAAATCTTCAAAAATTTTGGTATTTACAAAATTTTCTTGAAAATTTCGAAGCTCCAAAATTACGTGAGATAATTCTATTACAAGTACCAATGAATTTCTTAACGTTTATCGATTCATTTAAGAACTTTGATCATTATCTTGAATTACTTATAGTCAGAAACATTCATTTATTTGGGATAGAATTTGAAGGAATGATTGGTAAATATGAACTTGATCAAGTCAAACAACATGTTGCTAAGAACGAATTCACTTGTAAATTGAAATTTGTAAAAAAAGTAAATGGAAATGTTGGATTTTATATAGGTGGTAAGTTAAACTTTTATGATACATTTATTACTACATGACCTTAAATGTAGTTTAGGTAGATTGATAGGTAGTGATAGTAAAGGATTTCGAAAAAGAAAGGGACCACTTAGTTTGTTGAATATTAGCCTTTTTATAATTGACTTTCATCATTTTATTGTTTATTGTTATTACGAAGATAAGACGAAATTTTTTTAGGTGTCGCAAATTGTCATAGCAAAATGTAATGATATAAAGGGTGGAACGTGATTGATTATGTTTGATTTCTAATAATGTTTTCTGGAAGAAGGAATTATATAAATCAAACAATAATATATAATGATAATTCTTAGAATTATAGTGCCGTTAGGTTTTGATTTTTTTTAAATAAACTGTATATTTCAATATCAAATTGAAACCAAAACATTGATTAATATTAGAAGTTCATTTTATTTTCATTTTTTTTTTTATAGTGAAAAAAGAATTAATAAATATTATTGGAATTAATAGCTTCGATTCTAACAAAATTTATTAAAGAGACAAAGATAATTACCAATAGAAGTCTTCACCATCACTAGAATACCAGTTTAATTCGCGCTGAATTTTAGTTTTCTTACAATTTTACAAATCTTAAAACAATCAATTCATTATCTTAGCACAAGCATTCCAAAGAATTTGGTAAAGTAGGTTTTGAATATTGAAGCAATCGCAACGAGGAGTCAGGTAAATTTGGTATGGAATAACATTGTAGAGATTTGTAACCTCCTCCACGTCAAATAAGTTCTTTAATGCGTTTGAATTTTGTAAATAAAATATTTCTCGAAAGATTGACCAAAATTTTTTTCATGTGAAAATATAAACTTAACCCAGCTTATCTGCTGTTCACATCTTACAAAATCAAGGAAATCACCTTGTATATAGGATCATAACAACAACAATGAGATGTAAGATTGTCAGCACTGGCTAAAGTTTTACAAAGAAAAAATTACAACTGGCTCCAACGCAACTAATTTATTATATATTTGTATTTAATTGTTTATATGATAACTTATAAAAAATTTTAAACCAATCCAATTTTCTTTTTATTTATTTTTTTTTTTTACTATTTCCGAAACTATTTAAATTTATATAAACTTTTTTATCATATTCATATTAATATAGTTGATCGATAATGTTAGCTTTTTTTATAAAATGAACTCATCCCCTAGTCCAAAAAAAATCGTTCAAAGACAATTACAAACAATAGTGAGAAAAATGAATCTAATGAGGAAGAATATACAACTTCAATCATCTAGCAAATCTAGGATATTCAAAAATACTTTCCACTAGACCTAAAAAATAATAAATTTCTTCTTAATTTTAAAATTCATGAATAATATAGTATGTTTAAAAATTTTATTATCGTGACTCGACAAATCTTTTTATAAACAACTAGGTAATGGGAACCGTGTCTCGCAAATCACATCACAATACTTAGTAAATATATCACTAGAAAATAAAATATGTATCACTAGATAACTAAATTAAAAAGTTAAAAAAAAAATAATAAATAAAGTTTTGCCTAATATAGACTTCTATAAAAATAGTCACATTGTAATTTATTTTTTGTTTGCCGAGCTTTAACAGCTTGACCGCAATGTTTGATCACGTTTTCAATTTGATTAGAACCAACTGTAATAATTTCCAGAAAAAAAAATTTTCTTTATTTAAAAAAAAAAAATAGTAATTGGTGTCAATAACCATGGAATAAAGCTCGTGTCCTAATAGAATTTGATCAACAAATTAAACGTTTCATATAATTAACAAACCTTGGTAAAAAAATTATGGTGCAATTAATGTGATTGTAGTGGAAATTCTGTAATTGATAAATGCATAAAAGATACAATGTATGTTGAAGAAATGGAGATATACAGTACATCCAAGAATTCTTGAATGGGAACCTTTTGATAGATTAAAGTAATTAATGGGTTGTCTTAAAAGTTTCACAATATTTAGACTATATTTTTAGATACACCTGTAAAGTTATTAATAAATTATCCTAATTTCCTAATTCAAAAGGAAATAATAATTATTAGGGATGTTAAACGGTTCTAAACGGTCCTAAAAGTCACAATAAATTTGCCAGTTCTAGAGAAGAATTTTATTTTGCTGGCAGTATATTTTACTTTCTAAAGACAATGTATTAATTGAATAAATATATATTAAACTTATGCGGAAATCCAGAATCTTAATTTTTGAAACTTAGGACCCGACCCGGTCCTAAGGACCGGGTCCCACCTTAGAGGTCCCATGAAAATTGTCGATTTCAAAGTTCATATTTCTTTTAAGTTATTCATAAAATTAATTATAACAATTTTTTATCAGGAGTTACTTATTATAGATAAGCGATTAGACTTTTCTATAACTCGTAATTTCTTAATTTGTTCACAATCATTTGGGACCGTTTAACATCCCTACCGTAAAGCAAACTAGTTTTATATTTATATATACCTATGAAAAATTTTTGCATGGGTTTCGTACTGGATTTATTTGTGTAGAAATTTTAACATAGTAAAATCGTACAGTAAAATAAATTTGATTTTGAAATAATAATTATTAGTTGTACCAAATTTTGACGCAGAAATTACAAAAAATAGTTACGATTTGTTAACTTCTGTGTAACATTTTTAAGATTATCAAATATAAAGTGTGTAAAGTTTACCGAATATAACGAAATTGTGAAATAATTTATTTGATTATCATTATGTACATCACAAGAATATTATAATTATAAAACTATTTACTAATTAATCTAGCTAATAGTTAAACTAAGTGGAAGAATAAAGGTGAAGTTATTAAATTAATTTAAATTAGTACTTGTAGTAAACAACATTTTACCACATGCATGGCATGTTTACAATTAATCAATACAGTGAAGATATTTCGTTCACACCATCAAAGTTTTTTCAGGTTTATTAGGCGTCACAAATTTCTCTATATGATAATGTGTTCAAAGATTGCAATATCTTAACTAATATTTTAACACAATTAATATAACATTAAAATGTAAAATAAACTTCTAACTATGAGATGATACTGGAAGAAATGTTTACGAAAAATCAACTAATTAATTTTAAGTAAACTACATAAATGGCCTTATAAATAAATATCCATTATAAATTTTATTGATAATTCATGAATAAATGTTTTCTTATAACCAAATTCAATGAACTGAATTCGAAACTGACCAGGATAAACTAATGAAACCACGGGTAAAGTTTTGATAGTAGATCCTTCCATTCTGATACTGCCGGATATTTTGCACCATTCACAGTAAATGAACAGGTCCTTTTTTATTCATATCTAAATGAACAGTAACTTTGCTATTATCATTCTTAAATGAAGGAAAATAAGGATAATAAACACCATTTTCATCTTTATAACTCACCGAAAGAGCCTAATATCCATTCAGTACTTTGCAAAGATTTCATAATCAAAATTTTCTGATGCACACACTCCAACCCAAGCAATTACACAATGTTTCTCAATAATGACGTCCCATTCAAAAGTACCTTGATTTTCGAATGCCACCTTAGCTCTAACACTTTGATGTTCATTACAATCATTAGGTGCTCGTACAACTTTCCATTATCTTCAATAATAAGATTTGATCCACACGCTGACTCATCCCAAACCAAACCAGTTTTTTAGATATCAATTAATGAACATGGACTTCATTTAATTCTGTATTACATGACATTAATTTATGTCGATAAAAATTTAAAATCGTTTCAACTGGGATAATGTTAAATGATTCAATGATATTAACTAATATTTGGCCTTTAATTCGTCTGAAATCAAATAAATTTTACCAAAGGCACTAATTCTTTAGCAACTTTATTGTGATCCGGGATAAGCTTATTATCAATTTGTTTAAAATTATCCATGTGATCTTGAGTTAGTAATCGGTTCAAAAGAGACTTGGTTACATCGTTAGAAATACTCTTGCAACTAGAATAACACTATATCGAAAAACCTCATATTCTGGGTTACAAAGGGTTTATCTCATAAATGAAAGATAAAAGGACCCGAAGTGCTGTACTAGACAAGTGACCAAATTTAATGGTATTTAACGGAATAGCTGATACTGCGTCAACCAACAGATTAGAAAGTATATTATCTTCTGTTAATGGCATTGTTTCAAGAATTTTAGATAATAATTCAGGTGAATAATTATCATAGCTATTCTTTTCTAGGTGGTAATTTTTCCGGCAGTCTGAATTTCTTTTCATTTTGAGGATGAACCACCAACTTTTTAAATCCTCACTGCGTTCTTTTTTTAATTTTATTGTTTTTTTCTGAGATTATTCTTTGGTGAACTTCTTCCACTGATAACAATTCCACTGCTTTAATTTTGGTTACATTTTACAGTCTTCACAATAAAATTTTGAAGTTCCGGCAATTGAAAGTAGTCTGCAGCAATAAAAGTTTCAACGATATTTTCTTTGGTTAAAGATTCCTCTTTAACAAAATATATTCCATTATAACTTCAATTCCAGAAAAATTAATCTTTGAAAAAGAAATTTGTCTATCATAACTTTCTCCTACTCTACTAAAAAGTAATCTATAAAATACTTCGGATCTTGCAGCTAAAATCGCTCTACAACCATGTAAATTCTTTTCATACTTGCATAAAATTTCTACATCACTATATTTTGGATTATTGATTAATAATCTCAAATCTTGTTCTAATGAATACCTCTAATAATTTTAACAATTTTCTTTAATATGTTTAATAATGTATTTCATGGGAAAGAAATTCAAAGAACGGAACACAAGTTATATAAATATAGAATTTTTGAAATTAAAATATCGTGTCTATTAATTTTAACTGGAGTTTTTGAAATCCTTTTGAAATTACAATGTTCTACTTCTAATCTAATCTTGCTTGACATACGTAATTGCGTAAATCAGGCAAAAGTATGTATAATATAATGCTTTCAGTTCTTACATCAAAAAGGTTTTCCAAGTTTTATTCAAAAAGATTCCGGAGACACGAGTCAGATTAAAATGATCGGCATGT